CAGGGGTATATCAAATCCTGTCTTATCCTATGCCCCCTGCCTATCCATAGTTCAGACTCATGCTCGGGGAAGGGGTTGTGCCAGTACCAGCAGTACTAGTACTGTAGATGGAAATTTCTCCGCCATTTTAGCAGGTTGTCGCAGAAAAAGCAGACATGTACAGGGCTGCCTACTCATGCGCCCGGTTGATGCCGTGCTTCCATGTGCAGACAGACCAGCCAGGTTATTTTGTCACGAACGTGCCCCACGCCTAAACCGCACTTGGCCCACCGATGAGGGTGCCACAGATAACTCGGACATTTCCGCTACGTCCCTTGCTCATGCCACCCATAGTCCATGGATGCATGTGTGGGCTGATGTACGTGGCCCATGCTTGTAACACGCATACCTCGGAGATAAGCCACACTTGGGGCAGAGATAATTTGCTGACTGGGCTAAGACGATAATCCAAATTAATTTGAAGCTCAACAAAGTGAATGCCAGGTGGGTGTCAAAAGAAATTTCATTTGATTAGAAGACAATAAGGGTTGCAGTGTCACCAGTGCATCCTAAAAGGTTAAAAAAAAAGGCTAATACGTCCGTAAATGCCAAGAGAAACATTTCTAAAACGCAATCATGAACATGAACAACATACACGCAACACCTAGGAATGTTTCCTCAACGATGTGTAAAAGATGGATTCAATGTTGCCGCAATGTTAAAATGAAACCCAATACAACGTTGAAAATAGGATCATGTGTAACGTTGTTCCATTTATGTCATTTGTCAAGGCTTGGGCATTACCTCCCCTTTTAACTTCCCCTATCTGTGCCTCTTCTTTACCGATCGTGCTGGGAAGTTGTGGCCTGGGTCCGGCGTTTGGTCGTCGCGATCTTGTGGATTCGCTCCGAGAACACTCCAAGTTCCTGAAGCATCTTCACGTTTCTTCCTCGAATTTCTTCCCGGAGTTCCACGGTGAGTCGCTTCGTGATCGTCTGGGTCGCGGTCGAAAGTTCGGGCGCACGGCGACTCCTTCCGGTTCTGTCGCGTAAACGCCCGTGCGGGAGGGGGTGGGGAATGTCTCCTGGCGTTCTGGGTCCATGTGGGCGGACTGGACGAACGAGAAACTTCGTGGAGTCGCTATTTAACACATTGACGACAATGCACGTTTTTCGTTTTTTCGCGCGTGGGACAGACCCAGACACAACAGTGATTGTTTCACCAAACATCATAAAAGGTGCTCAAAATTGTTGCTTTTTGAAGAATGACAAATAAATATTGAAGCCAGATTTAGCTTGCCCACGATGTTTACAGTATTATTGGGGGACTATTATCATTGATTAATTGCAAAAAATCGCGGGAAATTATTAAAAGCGCAGAAAAAATCAATTAAAACTGATACGACCCACCGGTGGGTCGTATTGTCCCACGCGGACAAACTGATACGACCCATCGGTGGGTCGTATTGTCGTCAATGTGTTAATCACCCGTGAAACTGCTGGTTTCAAAATGCACACGAATCGCGTTGGGAAATGTGTCGGCGAGGAAAAGTTTTGTCGCACTACGAGTTTTTCCCTGGTTGAATTTCGACGCGCGATGTCGCGTCGGTGTTTGACTTCGAGGTCGTCGCACGCGAATTTAGATCCGCAGTCGAGTACTTGCGAGTACAGGTACTTGAATGCGTCCCGGATTTCCACGTAATGTTTCCTCATTCGTACCCGGAAACTGCTGCTCGGAATAACTAATTTTGCTGGATTTAAGTCTCACTGGCCAACAACTGGAGACCGGTAAGATACCGGGGTGTTAACCCTATGTTTGGTAATTTCCTGGTCATCTGCAATATTTTTAATCATTTTTTTTTCAGTTGGGGAGATATTTCTGGATTCTGTGGACGTCTAAACGCAGCAACATTCTGAGTGAACAATTTAAAAGAGCAATGTTAGCTTTCATTTCTAGTGGATATTCAGTTTACTTTACTTTCATTGCCGTACAGGAACCATTATCTAGGCATGAAGATAATCCTCAGTTCATAGAATCAGACTATGTAGCTGGCAGAAATCATCAGAAATCTGGTAGAACTCCGGCATGATATTCGGCAACAATGGGAACGGGACTGGAGCCATCACCTCAAGTTTAAATGAACGACAGCTAATTTAATTTGTTTAATGGCGAAATCAGAGACACGGTTTAGACTGTACAGGCCAATGGAGAACGCGCCCCATCCGCACGTCGATTAGAAGGGTCGGCCGCCAGCGCTCATGGCGTCAAGTCGTTCGATAAACGTTTAGCTTTCCGATTCATGACGCCACATTCCATTATGAATTTTGACGCTCAACACTCCAGTGGAAGCTTCATTCAATCCAGCATTGAAAAGATGAGTGCAATACCTCTTCAGAAGAGAATCCGAATCCCATTGTTGTGCTACGTAATATAAGATCCTAAGGCTGAGGCAGCACGCTGAAGATCAGGTAGGCCTAGGACTACCAAGTCATCACTGACGAAGTATGGTATTTTGAAAATCGAGTAATGCTGCCTTCTTTATTCTGGAGTAGAAACCCAGTCTTTATTTTCAGTGCATTTAACAATGTGCGGGTGCAATATCAGTTTCCCATACAGTTAGACCCAGGGTCTACATGGGGCAAAGAAAAATCCGTCGCACCTAAGGTTAGACCTCTCTAAAAAAAAATTCATTAGCTATCAAGTCGGATTCGTGAATGTTATATGTGATACCCGACTCGATCAGCGGTCTTTCAGAGCATCCGAATCCTAAACACACATTGACCATGTCTACCGTACGCCTCAGAGACATTGTAAATATGCTTAGACTGGACATGGCGGTCGAAGGTCTCGCGCCGATTTGAAGGACTGGCGGCCATTACTGTTGGCGTAAACGAGACAATGAAGCATGGTATTCACTGAGGCGCACGTTAGTCTTGGCCAATGTGTTCTTGGTGGCGAACGTCAAAACTCACAGTGGAGTGTGACGCCATGAATCGGAAAGCTATGCTTTTATTGGGTGACTTGACGACTTGGGTGACTTGAGCGATGGCGGCCGACCCTTCTGATCGGCGTGCGACTGCGGGACGTTCTCTATTGGCCGGTCAAATCTAGGTATATTTGCCATGTCTCTGGTGCGCCACATCCTCTCGTTGACGCCATCAATAATGGCCGCTAGTCCTTCAAATTGGCGTGAAATCTTCGAATGCCCTGCCCATTCGAGGAAATAAATACCGGAATGATATTCACATATTCCAAAAAATGAAATGTATTGTTCTCCACGACCTCAGGGAGATAAAGCTTCAAATTTGCTCGAGCGATTCTGTGTCGCGAGAGTCAAAGCCAAATTTCGGAGAAGTTCATTCTCAGAGAGGAATACGTGGAGGTTGAATTTTGCAACGGGAATCGGCTGAAGAAGGGTAATAGACGCAACCGCGCCTGTTGACAATTGCAACAAATTCCAATTAGCCAAAAGGTACCTGTCGTTTCTTCTCCGTGCAGTTAATTGCCCTTTGGAAGTTAGGCCTCTCACCCCTTCCACTTTTCAATCATTAAGTTTGCCTCCAGAGGTAGGGAAGCGGAGCTCCTACATTTATTGGCTCAAACGTTTGCGATAGACTCAGAATTGAAAATCAGCACAACAGGCTGCCATCATTTTCCAAATTGCTGCGCCATTGCGATCCCTGTAAATTTTTGGGAAGGTTTTTAATCACAGAAATGTTTCTTATTTTGGGGGAAAGGAGCGTAGGACGTAATGAAGACAAAAAGCTGGATTAGACTAATTGAAGGAAGAGAATAGGAACGAAACTCAACTCAAACGCCCTTTCGTCATGTGCTAATTTTAACCTGGAAATGAAGATGAGGCATATTCCCCTCGAACGGTTTCACTCGGATTTTTCAAACTGCGGAGTTCTCTGTTTCACTTTAGGGAATATCGTCCCTAAGAATATATCCTTCAGGTATACAATTTTTAAATTCGATGTGTAGAATTGGCTCCATTTGCGAGCGGAAAGAATTTTCCAATAAAATGTGGACGTTGATGAGTAAAGATAAAGGTAACTCATGAGTAGTGATATCTATGGAAATCAAAGGTGAATTAATCAAAGCAGGGGAAGTCACATGAACTCAGAGCTTGCCCAGATGAAGTGTACGCGCGGAAGCATAAATGCAAATGTATAGGAATGAAAATTGGTGCGACCAGCTGTCCTGAACACCCGTGAGTTTCCATTGCCTCAGATTCCCTTCACCGACGTGGCACCTTTAGTAGAGGTAGTGGAAAGGGCAGAAAGGGATGTCACAGTATTCTATAATATCGCTTGAAATGTAGCAATAGGGACCCTGCTCATTCATTATCAGATTGCGGCAGTAGTTGTGCTTCTCGCTCTTCAAGTCCCAGTGGAAACCCGAAAGCAGCGAATTGACTTCATCCCATCGCCAACACGGAAGTCCTGACTGTGATATATTTCGAGTCCCTGCGTACTCCTCTCCCTCTTTCGTCCATCTGCATTCCATCTTGTCTGATGGAGGGAAGATACAAGATAAAGATGTATTGGTCGATATTGGACCCATTGAGGTACGTCAACCGTTGCTCCATTCAAAATGACAAATATAAATAGAAGACTCATGCGGTACTGGGCGTGACACACGAAACTATTCAACGAAAAATTATCCACTACGAAATTCTTTTGAGCAAAGAACATTTCTTTCGGTTGAATGGAAGGAATCAGCTATTTATTGACATTGACAGGAGAGTAGGATCGGGAGAAAAAGCGTTTCCTCGGTCACGATGTGCTTCATCTCGAGTCAAACTTTGGAACCCATGAGACCGTTGACTGATAAACATATCTTAAGTAGGTTTTCCATCTGCAATTCAACGCAGTATTACAGTCAATGTCGAGCATCTTACACGTTGGCCGATATTACAGGATTTTTTCCTACAGTATCTTAAAAACTCTTTTGGGCTGCAACAGGGCTTCTACTTGCACCGACTATCGCCAGTGCTAAACTTTGCATTTGGAACCCTACAGGACTTCATGGATTGGAGTGAGCTCACTGGGGTAGTTGGGGCAAAAGGGAATTTGGCAGAATTCCCATTCGATGCCTGAATCTTCGACGAAGCACCAGGGCTGCTGCCTAGACGTTGGATTCCTGCAGAAATCCTGATGCAACGTGGAATTGCCAAATCGGAAATGAGCCTCATAAGTTGCATTGGGGTGGAAGTCCTCAGGCTTCCCATAGGGCTGAGAATCCCATCGAAGACAGGGCTTTCCAGTCTTCGTTATCCTCGTCGTACCTGCGTATTCCTTCCCCATCGCGGTCTGCAAGCATTCTGGGTATCCTTCTGCTGGTTTACCTGTCAGAATTTTTCGTCTTAAAAACTGTGAAACATGTCAAATCAACCGTTCACTTGCCTAAAGCGCTTCACGTCATCCGAAGAACTGCTTTTCAGAAGATTAGACAGCGAAATAGTATCGTCTGGGGACACTTCTTACATTTGTGCGATACATGATTTTAGCGCATCTGCTTGCTTCTTCACTCGTAAAACGCCTACATTAGATAACAATTTCGAGAATCTGAGTTCGAATAAGCCCCAAAGCATACCCTCGACGGCGATACGCTCATACAATTGATAGCAGAAAGGGACCATGCAATGGCCCCATCTCTCGCCAGTTCCCTCTTCAGTGAAGCACCAGAGACCGTAGGCGTCTGCGTCAGGATTGCGACAATAGTTGTGACTACTGTCTATGCCTTCATCGGAGATTGTCATAATGTCCAAGGCTGAAAATCGCTTGTCGTTTGCCCGACCCAACCAGGGCTGACACTTCCGACCGTCCTCATCAGTGTTCTTGAATCCCGCATACTCCAGGCCCTCCGTAGTCAGTTGGCATTCCGGGGGCTCTGAGGGTCAACAGAAGAAATTTCCTTCAATCATATTGTCAAATAGGAGAAATTTAACATAAAGTAATATTTTTATTCAAATTCAACCAGATGAATTTCCCTTTCTTAATTTTTGGAGTTCAATACATTTAGATATTTATTATAATACCGTATCAGGTTTTACCCTTGAAGTACGACCATGTAGATGTCGCGAAGGACTCCTAACAATACCAGAAACAAATAATGCGCTAGCGTAATGTGCCTAAGTTCGAGGCGTTTTTTTTCCGGGTATGGAAATATCCATCCCAGGCACTCATTAGTGATGCCATGCTGCTTGTTTCTTCATCATCACCTTCTTGGGTTCTTGAGAGAAGAACAGGGTGCAACATTATGGTAATCACACCTTCGCAGCATAGTAGAGACGAGATTTTGTCAATGAGGTGTATTGCACTTAATTTCGAAAGGGGTGACCCCAAGATCGAGCACAGGTGTTCCTAATACCGTTATGGTTTGCTCTTAGTTTGAAATGTCTGCATGGTGGACAAAGTAATTTACTGAATGTATTCCATTTGTTTCATGGTGGACACAGATCCTGTTGGGCGAAATAATTTTTTTATTGGCTTAATTACAAATTACAGAAGTTGTTAATTTGAAATATTGTGGGATAATACGGGAGAATTTAAAGAATTTTTTAAAATAGAGATTTGTTCATTTTCAGCAAAGCCAATGTGCTGGTTTAGCAATTTTTTTTCCGATGTTCACTGATTTTGGTCTAGTTTCTCACAGGAACCCCACTGATTGCACTATTTCTTCCGTTGCGAATGAGTAACGACTGAGCATACTAAGGAAAGTACTTATGCCACACCTGCATCGGAAGGATAAAATTAATGTAGTATCGTTGATGAAGGTGCAAGAAAACACCATTCAAGTGCGAGTACTTCTTAGGACACATTGTAAACGCATCGTAAAAAAGAATTTTAGGCATATCTTGTGCTCAACTCTTGCAAAGTTATTGAATATCCTTTCTTAGTAAATAATTCTTCATGGAGCGGGCAATATGCTCGATTGTACTCTTTCTGGAAGGCTTCAAGTACCTCCTCATTATTATTGATAGTTCACCACTGAATTACACCTCTGAGGGGACCTATGGTGTCATTTGAAGCACAGTTGATATGCATTCACAGTGTGGAGCATTTGAGACGAAATTGCCACCTAGAGCATTTCCTGTTGCACGGAACACACAATGCCTCCTGATTGTCAATATTGTTTGAGTTTCGCAATTAAATTTTGGCAGGAAGATTTTGCATCTAATTAGAGCATTCACATCCATCCACGATTAAACTTACATTCTCTCTTATTATTTCAAGGTTGGGATTTTGCATTTCCCCCCCCCCCCCCAAATAACTAACCAATATTTCGTATTGCGAAGGAAAACTTCCAAGACTCAACGGACGAATTCCAAAAATGTGACCTCTTTTCTAATATTCATAGGTCCGACTAGTCAAAAGCTCGTGTCGGTATCAAAATAAAAGCCCGCCCTTCGAATTCATAACCCATTTGGTAAGGAATTTCTGTGGACAACCAACAAGGGCCGCGTCTTCTAAAGGGAAGAAAAACAGAAATGTTCAATTTTAATGCAATCTTCACATATTAATACAATCAAATCTATGGTGAAATTCCTTAAACTAGCCCGCGATCTCAGGATAGAAATTATGAAAACCTAAAAGTTACTAAATAAAAGTCAAATATTTGTGCAATAATGTCTACGACATTGAACACAATAAACTCATTCATTCATTCATTCATTCATTCTAAAGGGGATGCCCCTAATTGCAAGAAGCATTCCTGTTATTCCTAGGCAACCTCAGACATCCGACGTACTTCCTATGTGAGAAGATACGATAGATGTTTGTCGGACGACTACCTGGCTCTATTCAGAAAGAATAGAAGCAGAAAGAGACCCTTCATTGTTATTTTTTGTTCGAATCCATGTAACGTCACGCCACAAAATCAAGAATACGATACTATGTTTTTTTGCATAAATTTCTTGCTTATACATCACAGGAGGTGAAAATGAAGAAATGAAAACGTGTGCCTGCGGCGTGTGACTATGAGCCTGGGAAAAAATGTTGGCAGGGAGGGGACCTTCTTTATTTTTTGCTGGGTTGAGATGGTCTTTTCAGTCGTAATAAGGTCTATCTACGCCAAGTGGTTTGATGTTTTGTTGCAAGAAATTTCTCAAAATTAGCGAATATGGAATCCTATTTTTTTTTAAGTTTCAGCATATCATCAAATCAGCGTGGGTGTGAAGAGATGTCTATTTTTCACATTTGAATGATATCTAGCAAAGAACATTACTATTCGAGGCAAGGGCAGACTTCACATTTTCAAATGAA